GCAGTTTTAATGTCTGTCTTTAGATGACTGAAGAAAGTTTTGGTTATGTTAGTTTTTCTGCAATCCTGTAAACATCAATATTAGGCAGAATCTACCCTGGGCTGTTTCTGTAAAGCTTCAGGCAGTTCCACTAATATGCAAGTATTGATTAATGTGTTGGTTTGGGTTTTGGAAGTTCATCTTGGCATTTAATGTAAAAACCTGTAGCTTCTTTTTATCTAATTCTAAGTGTCACCGTTTAAGGCTGGGCCGGCACTTAAAACGGGCGGCAGACGCTCTCTGTTAACATATATATATACATATACGTATATACAGATACTAGCTTATGATGCATGTTTCTATGCATAAAGGTTCACTGAATTCATTTAGTTCATATTTGTGGGTTTTCACATCCAGCGTGTGTGTCCAAAAGCCCTTGGAGGACTTTACAGCGGACATAAAAAGCTTCCTGGAGATGTTCGCTTTTAGGGCAATGACATACAGTTCACTGCAAAATGTCTCTTTGTTTAGAGCCTTTTGCCCTCTGACAAGGGATCCTGGAACCGGCATGAAAGGCTCGTTAACTGATTGCAATTTGTCTGTTGGTAAAAAAGTCACGCTTAATTCTCTGAAGTTAACATAGTATTTTCTCCTGCAGTAGTAATAGTGGTTTGCAACTGAAGTGAATTTGTTTACTGAAAACATTGTAGTTGAAATGTGCAATTGCACCTGTCTTGTATACTTTAAAACCACTTAGTTTTAAAGGTTTGAGATCTCTTTTATTTCATCTGTTTATATAAGTGGTATTGCATCTATTTTTGTATGTGGCAAAGCAGAACTTGTTTTGTTCTGTGAAGTTTTATTTGCGTAGCAAATCTTGGTTTGCTCATGCTGGGAGGCAATGCTCTAGCTAAAATGGGGCGGTTGTACTGGTACACAAGATTAAATATTCAGTCCAGAAATGTATAAACATTCTTCTTATCAAACCAGTGCACAGTAGGTCAGAAGTTTAAATCGGTGCAGTGCATGTGATTTAATTTTTCTTCCTTTACTGTTCCCCTTTGTAGACTCTGTCTTATCAGGAGCATCCTTCTTTTCCACTCCTCGTTCATTTTGGGTTTTAGCACAAGCCACTGTATCTTTGCCTTATCTTGGCTCTAGTTGTTGCTAGATATAAGTCATCTTTTAGTTTAAATGTGTCTGCTTATTTTATTTATTGATAGAGGAAGCTTGTGAGATACTAAGAGATGGCCTATGATGGGTGTGGTGGCAAAACAATTGAGACAGGCCATTCCCAGGCTCCACTGCCTCTAACTTGAGACTTCTGTCTCCGTCATTTTCCTTCCTCTGGCTGGAGCCCGCTTGCTCGTTGCTCTACTTTTAGGGCATTTTTCTTGCTTATTTTGTTTTCATAGCCTCATCTCTCACCACTTGGGGTTATCTGAGGTAATGTGGGTGTATCCACAGCAAATGCTACCTTTTGTGCAGTTTGTGCAAAATTAACGTGTTTATAGTAGTTTAGGGATTTACATTTGCTCTTTAACATATTTATTGAGAAATAAATGTCTGAATTCCTTCAGTAAAAACATTAAGCCCACACCCTTGTTTAAGCACATAATTAATCTCTTCACTTGTTTTCTTAAGTTGCTTGGAGCAAGAACACCTTTGTATTCCCTGCACAGCCAAATAGTGTTACTTAGCATGAATGTTACTTAGCATTGCTCTCCTTTGCCGCTAGCACAAAGCTAGTTCTTATGGAGCCTTGGGATCTGTGTGAATCGGCTCAACTAGCTCCAGAAGGAGTTAAGTCAGCTCTGGGAAAGGCATTCTGTCTCCTCTCCTGTGAAAAGTCAGTGAGAGGAACGGGTGAAGACTGACAGCCTAGGAAAGCTGGCACAAACCACAGGTGTTGGGTCCTAGCACAGAGGGTGTAGTTGAGATTTGATTCCCCCTTCTTTTATTTTAAGTAACCTATGGGTTCCTTGCAAGGAAAAGACTTGTCTCATGCTCAAGACATGGACAGAGCTGAAGTAGACCACTGTCGGCTGAAGTAAAACAGACGCAAACCGGCTTAAATGATTGAATTCTCTGTCCCCAGAGTACTTGTGGTAGGTCCTGCTAAATATCCCTAAAGACAGTCATCTGGTTATGCTGCCTACAAGGTAGCACATTTTATGATAAGCCCTGTGAGAAAGTACAGTAGTGATTCTTAAGTGCAGTTTCACATTCTGATTTATAGAGAGGCTGATGACTTGAAATCTGGTCAACTCTTTGTGCTAAAACTCAATGGAAAGCTGTCAGCTGCAAAGGATGTCACAGTCAGCAGGCAGGGATCTTGAATTAAATTACATAACCTGCCAGCTCAACCCTAAACCACGACATTCAGTGTATTAAAACAGGCGAGAAGATTATTCTAGGCTTTTGAAAAGAAGCAAAGGCCCGTCTTTGAAATCCAAATGAGCATACAGGAAAAAGGGATTAGTACAGGGGAAACACTGGGATAAAATGCTTTGCTGTATGCATGTTAGGAGGGCTGGTTTGTCTCTGCGTGGGGCAAACCGCCTGGTGGACCAGGCGATGCCGAATGCTTAAACCTTTCTAGAATCAGTTTGATAAAGTTTCTCTTGCACTGGGAAAGTATCTCGGAGGAGCTTCAGAATTACTTATGAAATGTTGGAATGAGACTGGGCAGTGTATTGGCTTTTGCTTTTGGCTGCCACGTTCCTAGGATAACCTGGAATTTATATGTTCAGCCTTAAGCGTCTGTTTTGCCTGATGGTCTACCTGAGAATGTAGAGTGTGAGAATGGAGACAGATTCTGTTAATTTTCCTGTGGCCTTTCAGATTGCTTTTGAACTGTTGAAACACCTACGTTTCCAGAGCTGAATGCAAGTAATTCACATGTGTACATTTATTCATGTTCTTCAAAGGTGGCCGTTAAGATTGCATTTCTCCAGCTGGTTCTCACATGGAGAAATCCAGTCATCAATGGCATTGCTGTGGTAGGAGAGGCAGACCTGCATGTTTCAGCAAGTTCACAGCTGTTTGCTTCTCTGGGCAGGTATTCAGAATAGTGAGTACATGCCTGGGCAGCCCTCCGGAGACCTTCTGCTGGGAGTTCCGGGATAAGGAGAAGAACTATCACAAATACGGCCCTGTGACACCGGTGCAGTTCTACAATGAGCATGTGAAGCCTTACTTCAACATGGAGGACAAGGTTGGGGGTGCTGAAAGGCAGTAGCTTCCTAAGACCTTTTCTTTGCTGCTAAGCCACTTATTTCCACTGTTGCAAGTGTACTGTCCACCCCTGTAACTGCACCGTATGGGATGGGTACTGCTCCCACAAGTTGAAGATGGCCCTATGTTTGTCCTCCCCATTCTCCTGTTTGTGCTCTACCCTTCAATTAGCTGTGATCTCACATTGCACTTCCCTGATGATTTTGTAATAAAATATGTAATGATCTAACCAGCCATAAAATGCCATAAGACAGCCATTAGAGAGCACGAATAACACACAAAGCTGCTCTGCCACAGGTATGAGGTGAACTTACGAAACAAAAACAAACAAACAAAACCTTAAAAAACCTGGTATTTCAGCCAAGTGGCTTGTTTGCTAGTGGGACAGACAGCTAGCTGGGACAAAAGCAATTATCTGCAAACTATCTCAATTCACTTCTCAAAGATTTCAGTTAAGTTGCACCTTAATTTGACATCTTGGTTTTTGGCAGATCTGTCTAGTGAATGATCCTCGACCTCAGAATCCATACTACAGGCTGTATACAGTGGAGTACCTGGGCAACATGGTAGGAGGGAGGAGAACGCTCTATAACAACCAGCCTGTTGATGTCTTGAAAAAATTAGCTGCAGCATCTATTAAGGATGGAGAGGTTGGTTTGGTTTCTTTTCATGGATGGCATGCCGCAACTCTTGTAATGTAAAACTCACTGGGATATGGCCTAGACTTGACTCATCTTTCTATTTGTAGGCTGTGTGGTTTGGCTGTGATGTTGCGAAGCACTTCTATGGCAAGTTGGGAATCAATGACATGAATATGTAAGTAGAGAATCAAAACAGAATACCATTTGGGATGCTTGGCTAGAACATAAACAGTGCTTTGGCTGCTTTAGAAACTAACTTGCCCATACTTTGGATTATATACCAAAAAAATGTATTTAATTCGGCAGCAGTAGAAATTTTTTTCACTTGTTAGCTAAAATCTGAATTCTTTAAAGACACTACAAGTGATTGCTAAATTTTGAGTCACTTGGATTGTCTAGTATCTGGTGAGAGAAACTACTAAAGGGATCAGTCTTTGCACTTATTCTGACACTAAAAATAGTTGAACTTGTATGCCTCTGCACTGGCTCTTGGGACAGATCAGTCTACTGATTCTGTTTTACTAGTGAGGATCCTCCCTGCATCCTTTTTGATACTGCTTATGTGGCTTTCTAATAGATTTAATCATGAGCTGGTGTTTGGTGTCTCCGTCAAGAACATGAACAAAGCAGAACGATTAATCTTTGGAGAATCAATGATGACCCATGCCATGGTCCTGACGGCTGTCACTGAGAAGGTAGAGTTTCCTTTCAGAAGTTCTGATGCTTGCACAGATGTATTTGAATATTCTGGCAGCTTGTTTGTGTTCTGGGCATGTTCACAGTGTGTAAGCTGTTCTGCTAGAGCTCAGCATGTGTGCCTCAACACCCTGGTGCACAAGGCCTAAGTTGTCTATTCTCCCTGTGTTGTTTGTGTCTGTTCAGAACTATAAATATTTAACAAGGAGGGAAGAATTTTAGACAAGTCAAGGACTTCTTTCTTTCTGCCCGCAGACTTTTATTGGAGAAAGGGAAAATAAAGTCAGCTTCTATTTTTAAGATACCAGAAAACCTATGTTAACTGATTTTTAAATACAGATTCTGATCTATCTTGCTGAGCAAGTATTTCTTACCCATTGCATGGGTTAGTCCAAGTTACCTTTTACAGCATGAAGCTCCTTCTGTTAAAATGCCAGTAGGAGGAATCTTGCAACAGTCAATCTCCTGCAGCTCACTGGCATGTGACCTGTCTGACCTACTCATAATTAGGGGAGGAAAATGGTGTCCAAAATAGCTGTGTGGCAGACAGTAGGCTGAGATGAATCCACAACTGAATCTGCTCCTGGCAGTATAACAAAGCACATATGAAGTAAAAGGAACCATGTGAAAATTTACAACTCGGGGTTATCTGCAATGTTGATGTTTTCCACTTATTTCCAGAAGTTGTCATTATTAAAGTTTCTTTGAAGTGCTCTCTTCCTGTCCAACATGACCTTGGCTTGAGAAATAACAGCTTGCATATAACTGGAAAAGTTTGTTTGAGCTCTGGGGTTTGAGGACTTGAGATGGGACTGCTGAGTCACAAGAATTTGAATTACTTTTTACAACTTTTTACAATTTTTCCTGTTGTGTTCCGAACTCTTGATGCTTCTATTTTGCGTATCAGATTGCACGAACACATCTTTAAAAAATTTTCATTGTTTTTCAGTTAGATATATAAAATGATACTTTTCTAATATTTAAAACCTATATATCTATTCATGACTGAAGTGTGTATGTTTGTACTGATTGTAGCCAGTTACTGGCTGCACTTCATTGGCACCTATAGTCTATGGTCTATATTTTTAAATTCATTCTTTTGCATGCCTAAATGTATAGTGGCATAAAATGTGGTCAAATGTGACCTGATTTCTTAATGAAAAGGATGTGTATAAGATCAGTACATGATGGGTGGTATCTGTAAAATTTAAAGATCATTTAAAAGAAATTATCCTAGAACAAGTTCAGCATTTAGAGGCTTTTCCACATTCAAAATGGACTAAGTTGTTTTGGCTTTCTGTTCAAACATGTCTTATATTAAACCTTAACTTAATCTAAAGGAGCTTTGATAAACTGAGTTGTAAAATGTAATACTTTGGATTTACCTACTTTATAAACAGGCTTTGAAGATTTAAAAAAAATCCTATTACAATTTTACAACATAAATTGATGTGGATTAAATGCACCTTTTGGTTAAAAACTTAAATGTACGTAAATGTGTTTATCCCAGTTTCTGTCTGATAGCATCAAGAGTTGCCTTATCCTTAGTCTGGTAGCTCTTGAGTGTCTCGTTTTAAGGACTGTGCTATATTTTTTTAAGTGAGAAGAGAAACAATACAACAATATTCCACTGAATATTAAAAATGGATTTATGGGGTGTTTTGCAGGCTAGCTTTTGTATTTAAAAAAATATTTTAGTAGTGAAAGAATAACTATTCTTTGGTTCCTCAAGGAACTGTGTCCTCATGAGGGGCTGCTTGAAGGAAGCAACAGTTCACTTTGTGGCACAGCAAGCCTATGAAGTTGTTTTCGGTCCTTTTATGTGCTTGGTGGATTTCAACCAGGCTTCAGATACACACAATGCAGGCTAGAATACTGCATGCTTCTGAATGTGAAGTCAAATGTACTTCATGCTCGTCAGAAGCCTTGTATATCTTTCAAAGCACCTGACTTGGACCTGCATCCTTCAGCTAGATTCTTCAAGTGTTTTGTACTTGCTCTTACTAATACTGCTCTAAATTATTACAGTTGCTTCATTGCCCTTGTTCCTTTCCTCCGATTGTTAGTTCAAGCAAGTTGTGCATTTTGCATTTCAGAAGGCCCTCATGCCCTGATAGGTCATAGGGAAGGCTGCTTAAATTCTGTCAATTAAGTCCTAACTTGAATTTAGTTAAATTTAAGTTTTCTGGTTAAAACAAGTATTTATTGCAGGTTCTTTTCTTGACCACATTTCCTCATATTTTATGTAAGCGGGTAGACAAGTATTTTAGAAAATTACATTTCTTCAACCATTAGCAAGAAACCATTGTCTGAAACTCGCCAATGCCTGTAGACTTTTGGGAGTGGAGCTCTGCGGTTTGCTGGTGCTGGATTTAGACTTGGAAGGATTGGCTGCTGTAAACTTGCATGGTCCTTCCCTACTGAATAGCCATCCACTTGTTTTGTCACAGGATGGGCAAGAAGAGGCATTTGAAAAATGGAGAGTGGAAAACTCCTGGGGTGAAGACCGTGGTAATAAAGGTAAAGTAATTTATAGTCATGGGAACAGAAAGCTAAACTTAGTGTTTGGAAATAAGGAGGTAGAAGGGGGGAAAGGGGATGTGCTGTGTGTTCTTCTCCAGGACATGCATGAAACAAGCATGCAAACAGCATGGGGATCACTGAGTTATGGCACTGTGTTCCTGGAAGACAAACATTCTTCACTTAAATGTGATTTACATCTAAGTAAATCAAATGTAAACATTGAACGGAGAAGCAGGAAATGTCACTGAATAAATGTGACACTGTGGTTGCAGGTTCAACTATAGAGGCAATTGCATTTTTGGGAGGTGGCCATAAGTGATTGATGCTGACACTTCTTGACAGACAGGGCATCTTGGTCCCAAGGGCAGGAAGACAAAGTTGACAGAAGGACCTATGTTGGAGGCTAGGACTGGAACTCTGAATATAGCTCGATGGTATGGGGCATATATTGTCTTTACTGGATTGGCAAAAGCTGTAGTGTAATGAAGCTGTTTATTTTGTCTGTGGAAGGTATGGGAAGCTACTGGTAGACTTTAGATGAAGTTCATATTTTATCAAAGTTTAAATACTTCATTATAACTTTTTAAAGGTTGATTAGTTTATTGTTGTAATGCTGCTTATTTTCTGAAGCATTGTATATGAGTTTGCTGTTGATCACAAGTAAATTGCCAGCCATTATCCCTGCCAAAAAAAACCCCAGCAGCTGTAAGAGTTTGACAGGTGTGGCAGGGAGAGCAGAACCTTTGCTATTCTGTTGCTCATAATCCTTTGCTGCAGAACACAAGTCTGAAAAATCTGGTAGTTTTAGTCTGAAAATATGGTAGTACTTCTGTTCTGAGATACCAAGAATTCCTGTGGGCATGTAAATCGATCTTTTAATAAAGGGACATGCTTAATAAAGAAGAAATGCTTTGCAGTATCAAATAAGATAGGATCACTTCCAAGAGCTGCACTATATAGAAGTGCTTTCTTCTAGTATGAAAGGAGAAATAAGACTTTGCTGCAATACTTTTAAATGTACTGAAGTTTTTGGTAACAGAGATAAGCTTGAATCTGTACGCTACAGCTATTTCATCTTTGGCACCTCACGCTGGCTGTGGCTGATATTACTTAAATAATCTTCTGAGTCATGTGTGAAACCTAAGTGGTTTATATTTTCTTTTAAAGCACTGTTTATCAATCACTGCAAGCTCTTACTTACTGATTTTGTAGATGGGAAATGAGGATGTGGCTGGTTCCAGCTTGAGCTGTGAACAGCTTCAGTGTAAACTTTTCTATCTGCAACACCTGCCTGTAAAAAAGAAAAAGAACAACTTTAAAAATAGTAATTCTGGTTGCCTTTCTGAAGCCATGCAACATCCTTGCAGTGTTCCTCTCTGGTACGACAAACACTAGCAACAAGAAAATCCACAGTTAAGGTGCATTTCTGCTCCTGCCAAGTTTTCTGCATGAACTTGCTTTCCTGTTGATGACTGTCTCAGCCTGCACTATTCTTCCTTTAGAAAGGATCTATAAGGGCTGTAGGGCTGTAGCAGGGTGGATGGGCCAGCCTGGCATGGCCAGCGGGCAGGCAGTGTGGACAGAACAGTGAGTCACAGCTGAGTGGTGGTTTAGGAAATTGCTTCCAGTTGTTTCCCTGCTTAGCCTGGGAATGACCGGAGGGTGTGTCTCTGCCCGGTTTGGGGGGGCCAGCTCTGACCTCCCTGGCCCAAGGTGAGCAGGGCTGATGGTGTGAGAGCATTCCTACTTTGCTCTGCCAAGGCTTGCACTCAGTCAGCTTTTCCTAAATGGAATGGAGGGGGAACTCCATGATTTTTTTTGTCATCTCCTATCTAAGACAGGCTGGATGTGGACTCAGCCATGGTATAAGCTTGCTGATAAGCATGCCGAGCCAGACTTCAGTGTGTCCCAGGGCATAACACAATAGTCATTGCGGACTACATTTTTCTGTTACACATTAATCCCAACTGTGCTCACAAGATTTGGTATGGCTGAAATTTCCCAGGATATCTGGGTTTTCTTCTGGGAATGGACTATTTCTGGAAAACTGTTTTAGGATGTTGCCTTTATGAATAAGGTTTTGATATCTTATACATGAACAGCTAACTAAAATTTAGAATATTCTTGGAACAGTGTCTTACCTTAGGTTCTGGCCCCTTGGTATTGCAGTAGGGTCTGTTCTGAGTTAGCTGTATACATTCACAGCAAAGTATTACCACAAGCATCTTTAGTCTTGACAAAACAATGAAATTATGTTGATATTCAGCCTTCAAGGCTCATCAAAGTGACAGTAGTAAAACGTACTTTGGAATTTTGGATTAAGGAAAGAAGCCAAATCAATACTAAAAAGAAGTAACATCAAAACTTTTTTGTCTCCAAATACAAACTAATAACTACTTTGTTAAGCACCTGTATGTATAAAGAGAATGTAAAATATAAAAATGCCTGGTTAGTTGTGCTTTTTTTTGTCAGAACACTTTTTGAGACACTCCAGATACTTGGTTTGTGATGTTAGATGCTATTAGTGTTAGAGGAATGCTTCCAGGAAGGAAGTGCCTTACTCAGCTTGCTTTACAACTGCTCAGCGTGGACTTAGGTTAGTACTGCAAACATTCTGAAATCAATAGGTGTCTGTCAGCAACTTTGATTGTGCTAGCCGTATATGCTTCTTGGCCAAGGTTCAGAGTTGTTCTTTGTTAGAACTGGAGAAAGACTGGGCTCGATTTCAGGATATTGGCTGTTACTCCCAAACCACAGTGCAGTAGACTGAAGCCTGACACTGCAAGTAAAAGTTGTACCCATTGAGCTGTGACTGAACCGCGGCAGTTCTGTGCTAGTGTTATGGGGCTGGAGCATCAGTGAATGCTCCAACAGAGCTGCAGAGGCTGTGATTGATACGTGTGGAGAGCTGCATGCATTTTTGGCTTTCTGCACTTTAAGCTTGGAATCCAAAGTAAAAAAAAAACAAAACCTACAGCAACTAGAAAAGTATAGTGCCTCAGGCTTTAAGGTAGAAATAACACTAAATTAACCCAGTTACCTAGTCGTCTTTGAGTATTACTTTGAACTTGTTTGGCAGCTTTGTAAGCTTAATTTGCTACTGGGTTTGCAGTAACAGTTTATTGCCCTTAGACATTATCTCTTCTCCAAATATGGATTCACTTTTCAAGAATGAGTTCTAGAGCCATTTAAGAGGAGCTCGTTGTTCCTTTGAAATATAATAGGACCCCAGAATGACTTGAATAAACCCTGCCTGTACCTTGTATGCATGTATGGTGTGTATGCCATCTACATGAACTTTTCTGGGTGACTCACTGTCATTTATCTGTTTTGTACTGGTAGAGACCATGGTCTCTGGAAAGTCTTGCTCACTGTCTATGTTTTGTTTTGGTTAGGGAGTTGCCTGGAAAAGTGCCTTTACAGAAAATCCCATCAGAACTAGAAGCTTGACTCTATTTCAGACAATTTTTTCAGGGAGGTAAATCCCTGAATGATTTTCTTAGGTATGACCAAAAAACCCGCTGTTGAGCTGAAGGCAATTGGACATATCTGTCAGAGCTCATTCTCAAACATTAGAAGAGGTATCTTGACAGGGTTTCCTCCCCTTCTTCCTGCCCTGCTCTTTCACTCTTCAGTGTCCAGTACTAGCTGGTGTAGGAGGTTTGTAGTCTGTCCTAGCTCTCTTGCTATGCAGTGAGTCAGGCAGTGATTTTTTTTTTTAATCTTATCTGCCTTGTTTAGGAACTGGGAAGCTGTGCTTAGATAAGTCCAGTCCAGAGAACCAGAATCCACATCAGTAAGGAGGCAGCCAAGAATGATGTTAAACTTGGCATATCCCAGTTGAGGCCCAGTTGGGTGTGGGGGATACAAGTAAGCCCAGACTCCATTATTTCTTGGACAGGGTGATAAAGGGTACAGCCTGCAACAAAACACCAGAGACTGGACTTTTGAGTCATTAAAAACCAAGCAAACAAATGACTTATCGTTGGTAGGAAATGGAAGGTTTTTTTCACATAGGGTGCCTCTTGCTTTGCTCTGAGGTGCCAGGTAGCACCTCTTTCTGCAGACTTGCATGGTGCAGGACAGGAAAGACTGTGACTCCTGGTTTGGGTATCATGGGATGAAGTTTGTTACACGCTCACACTCCGCAGAGTGGGCAGAACTGAATTCTTGTGGTAGTGCTTGTCCTGGAGAAAGGGAAGCTCTGGGAACAGCCTAGGATTGCCTTTCCTAAATATTTAGTAATTACATTCATATCTTCTGTAAAAGTGTTTCTTGGAATCCTGTCTGTTTTTTCTCAAGGAATGAACACAGCTGCTGACAAACACTGCTTGTTTTTTGAGGTAAAAAGAGTTGCTTCCCAGTCAAGTATTTCCCTTCTGTGTTTTACTGGCACTTTGTCAGCCGTACAGGCAAGTTTAATTATTCTGCTTACTCTTTTGTTCTGGGGAGACAGTACATTATTACCTAACTTTGAACCCAGCTTATCCCATTAGATGTCTTTTTTAAAAGCAAGCAAGAGGGGAACACTAAATCACATTATCACATCCATTTGATTGGGGTCCATCTGCTTGTTTTGGCATGAAAAGAGCTTTCTTGTGATACATCTCCAGCCAGAAGTCAGCTCCCTTTTGACTTTTTTTAATCTCTTGTACTGGCTGTTGCATGCATACTCTTCTGTGTGATGACATTTTAAGGATTTAACTGTAGCCGTTTAGCATCTGTATTCGTATATGTGTATATCATCCCATAAGTACACTATGACAGAAAGGCTCTGTTAATTTGTTCTCCCTGTGGAGGAGTTACAGCACAAGCACGAAGTGGCTTGTACTGGGTCCTCTGGGAACTTTTCAAGGGCTTTATTTTCAGGTGCCCAAATCCTAGCTTATGCAATAACTTGCAGACCATTCATCCTCAGCTGCCCTCTCCCTGGCCAGCAGCTTGTCAGTTTTAAAATGCTGCATGTTCAGGTTTTCCTTTGGGTATATTAGAGAAATGTGGACTAGCCCCATATGGAGGAATACGCTTTTGTAGTTAGGTGTTGTGTTCTGTTACAAGAAGATGATGCTGTTCCAAGTTCTCTTTTGTATTCTGCCCTTAACATACAAATGGTTGGAGTAGAAGCAATAGGCTAATTGCCTGAGGTAAAGCTCTGTTGTGTACCTTACCCAGACATGCAGTAAACTTTTCTGTTTCTTTTTCACTTCTGCCTGTTACCTGGATGGAATGCAGAGCTCAGGGTTGCCTTAGGCAGGCTCTTAGGTGTATGTACTGCTGCGTATAAAGTATGTGTCTCCTTTTAATGAAGAAATTGATAATGGCTTTCATTGTGACACTGGGCACAGGCCTTCTCAAAAAGCGACCTTACTTATTTGCGTGTTCTGAAGTTCTGCTTGATGCTTCCTTCTTGTTCAGACACTGCGATCCTAATCAGCACTGTCAAGCTTTGAGATACAGGATGTCAGAAGCAGAGTTCATTATCCTCTCAGGGTGCAATTACTTGTTGGCTCTTGGGAGTGAGAGGTTTTTGTGTGTCCCAAGAACTCATATCCTGAAGAGAAAATAATCAAGGCAGCTCCCTTTGGCAGTGTTTCCAAAATGGCTTCTAGCTTGGATTACAATTGATAGGGTTTTTAATTTATGGGAATTATCTGATCTCTTGCTTTAGAAACCAGATGGTGTAGATAGATGCATTTATTGTCCATATTCTTTGGACATTTTCTTTCATTTGATTGTGTGATGATACTGTATAAGGACATGAGGAACTTTATTACATAAAGCCTTCTCATCTGTCTTCTAAATGCTTTTTTTCTACCAGCCACTCTTATTTTCAGTTCACCTTGAATAGTTTGTTTCCAGTGATAGCTTTCTGCTAAAACCTGTGATACTCTAAATGTGGCATCTTTTTCCCCCAGTTCAAAGGCTGTTCACTGAAATTCTCAGCAAGAACTACGTTAAGGGAGAAAACTAAGATTTAGTTGAGCAAGAATGTGATTTGGATGGCTTTGAGGAAAGCAGATGGCCTCCTCTTAATGCAAGAACTAAAACAGTGAAGTTTTCTTAAGCCAGAGGTGGTATGGATATTCACCTGGAAAACTTCCCTTTTCTTAATAAATTCCTGAAACTTCTAAAGCCAGAGACTGGGATACCTTTACATTCTGCCTTAAATGCCTTTTTTTTAGGCATTGTAATTCTCTTGAGTATTCTCAATGCTTATTTTAACAGAGGAAGCATAAATGCTGAATATTGTGGGTCTTGTCTTTCCTAGCAGGCTTTTTGCTTGGTCTTTCAGTGTACAGGAAGTACATCTGGTTAGCCTGTATGTTAATTTCTTTGTGATTTTTTTTCATTTGTCTTGAGAGATACGAAGTATGACTAGGTCTTCCTTGTAATGCATCATTCATAGCTGAAACTTGTATCTGTGACTGCTTCACTGTATTGGTAATAGTTCTCTGTTGTAATGAACTGTTTTCATCTCCAGGTTACCTGATCATGACTGATGACTGGTTTTCTGAGTACGTGTATGAAGTTGTGGTGGATAAGAAGCATGTACCAGAAGACATCTTGGCAGTGATGCAGCAGGATCCAATTGTTTTGCCAGCTTGGGACCCTATGGGGGCTTTAGCCAAGTGAACTACAGAATATTTGCCTCTTAATGGTCAACCAGAAGTAGATGCAATAGAGAATTCCAGTGGTTGGAAGCCATAGCCAAATGATAATGTGACCAAGCACTCAGCATGGTCCATATTCTTGAAATGTAAGTTAAGGATCTTTGGGAAATAGTGCTTTACTGACTTGGTTGAATAAAGCTCTCAGACAGGCTACTCTGCAAAACTAAAAAGGGAAAAGGGAAAAAAAACTCATAATGAAAATGTATTACAAGTGCTGTCAATGGCAGTTTGATTTTACCTTAAATTTTTAATAAAAATCAGCCTAGTAACTTAGAAATATTTTGATCAGTGTTTTCCCTAGAGATGGTGGCCATAAAAGGCCCTTTAGAATTAACAGCTAGGTGCTTGTTAGAACAAATACATCGAGATACTTATAAATTAACCATCCATGGTTTGACTTGTACCATAAAAGAATGCCCAAAATGTTTTATATATTTACATTTTTGGTTTTGCTGAAGTTTTGGAGGGGACATAAGAATTGAAACTGCTAAAAATTACCTTTAGAAAATTTTCTCTTCCAGCAGAACTTGGGAGGGGGTGGGGGGGACAACTGTTTCCTTGAGGGTTTCTGGTTTCACTTGTTTTTATTCTTCCATTATTGAGCTAGGATTGGATAACCCATATCAAGGCCCAGTGCTATGTCTGTGTGCACAGAAGCGCTATTTTTCAGTTATATTGCGAGAACAACTGTAAGTATGTTCACAGGTGGAGTTTGTCATGCTCAACAGAAAAAACCCTGATGTTTTAATTGCTGCATTTTATTTGGATGTTTTAAAAAAAAACAAGATGGTGCTATGAAGCTTTTGAATAAACACTTTCTAAAGTGACTGTTACAGTTCTGTTTTCTTTTTTTAAATGAGCCCCATGTAACTAATGAAATGGTAAGATATTACTAAGCTACAAACAAATCGAAGTGAGCCAGAATGTGAACGTATCAGGAAAACGTGCTGCTTTATGTTCTCAGTAGTGAAAGATGCTCCTCTCACTGGTCAAAGATAAACACAAACATAGTATCTCATGTACTACAGGCACTCAGTTTGAGCACAGTACTAATCCTTTGATTTAAATCATGCCAAAATAGCGGGCTGTCTTTGTGCGTACCCTGACAGTTTTCCTGTTCGATACTGGGTTTACTCACAGGCCAATAAGAGGGTAAGTAAGGGTAAAGAACCACACTGAAACACAACTGTCAGCTGCCATGGGTAGCAAATAGATGTTGCTTAAGTCAAGTGCAAGAAAAAAAGGATGTTTGGTATGGCAATGGTACTCTACAATTTTTTTTACTTCCATTTGGACAACAGAGGCAGAAAGTTATTAAACGATTACGAAAGTGTATCTTATGCTGGTTATACAAATGTGTGTGTATATGTATGTACATGTATTAAAAATGCCAAGATGAATCATGTCTGCATGTTGCCTGCTAAACTAAATCCAGATTAGGGTTTGTGTCGGAGTCATCAAAGATTATTTAACCTGCTGTGATTAACATTTCCTGAAGTGGGCAGGAGTGCTGGTTAGATAAGAGAATTGGTGTGGAACAGCAGCAGGAGGTTATGGTTACTGTCCTCGAGTGATGGGTTTTAAGAGTCTGTGCCCTTTGCAGTATTTTCTGCAGAGGTAACAAAGCTCTTCTGGAGATGTACAGACTGTCTCTTGACAGTACAGTGATACAATCATTTGATTCCTTTTTAGTAAAATTCAGCTCATGTTATCCTGGGCTTATGTCAAAAGGTTTTCTGTCATCTCGAGACCTATGAGGTTACAGGAGCAAATGGCTATTGCTCTCAGCTTGCCTTTTCTAGTAGCTACAGTCACGAGCGATAACATTAAGCTATAGCTTTGCAGTACATTTTCCTAATCTAGAAGACTCCACGTTCAATGCTCAGACTTTGTTCTGCGTCTCGGGACCTTTCTTGCTTTCTACAGTGTTGACTGGCAGAAGTGTGCACCACGTGCAGTTACCTTTGTAACTTTTGGCATATACCTTTGGGCATACCTTTTAATTATGAGGATATTGTTGAACAGTTGATTTGCCAAATATATTTAATTATCAGGTTATTGCCAAATATCTTGCCACCATTTCTGATTTATAATCTTTGCTCAGCAAAATGTGATCTCTATCAAACCATACAAATGTATATTGTATAAGGAACAGTGCCAGCCAGCAGGAACTGGGTATGCAAATAGAGCATGCAGAAGAAGTGTGAGCTAAGTCTGAGTGGTGTGGAAAGAAGAATATAAAAATGTCATAGTTGATCATATACTCTTGTAGAAAAAAATAATGTAATATTGGGGTGTATAAACAGAGAAATAGCCTCCAATATGTAAAGTTCCCCAGCTCTGCCTAAGACTGGTGGGGAGTGAGCTGGAGTGCAGTATCTAGTTTAGGGTACTGCACCTCAGGGAAGATGCAGACCAAAACGAGTGTAGAGAAGAGTGGTAAGAATTCATCAGAGGACTTGAACTGTGACTAGTAAAAGGCTGGAAGAACCATGGTTGAGAGAGAAGGGGAGACATGGTCTTTTAGTTCATAAATGGATGGTTTAAAGAAGGGAATTTACTTCCCACTACTCATGATAAATTGATCAAAAAAGTCATGGGCTTCCACTGTGTCAAGATTTAATGAGACTAGGAAAAGCTTTCTGGTGATAAAAATAGCAAAGAACTGGAACAGATTGCCTGAGGATGCGTGCTGCTTCCATCGCTAGAGAGTTTTAAGAACAGGTTACAGAAAAACGTGTCAGAAATGGCATTGGTAGAGTTGATCCTTCTTACGGCAAAGGGAGGGACCAGATGATCTTTTGAGGTCCCTTCTGGCTTTATGGGTCTGTGGTGCACAGTCTCTGCCTCACGCTGTGTTACTTGCATCAAGGCGAGTAAACAGTCTTGTACTTGATGCTGAACCCTGGTGGCTCTGAAACAAAGCCAGATCTCTTAGGAAGCTGTATTATGCACAATATTTTGATTGTGACTAATGCATGTGTTGTTTTGGATGCTTTTTTCCTTCCAAAAGGTCAGTATTTTAGTCTTTCAAAATCTTTCTGCTTATGACATTATACCAGTTCGTCTATTTCCTTTATGCTATCTATGTGAGGGGGATAGCAGCCAGAGAGATTTAACTTTTTCTCTGGAGTTTAACTGACTAACATTTTTGTTGCCTATGGCAGCCCTGATGAGGATTGAGTTTGACAAATTAAAAACAGTTTCCAAGCCAGTTTTTGTTAATTTGAGTATTTAAAAGTATTGTCCAGTGTGTGCTTATCTCCGCTGCTCTTGCCCAGATATTTCCCTGTGCAGCTTATACAATAGCATGGTCTTTTCCTTTCCTTCAAATAAGCACAGAAAATCCACACGGCTAAAACACGTTATAAGAAACAAAGCCAATTTGGCAGAAACAGTTTTGCCTTTATGCCCAGGAATTTTATGAGTTCTTTGTAAGAAGGAATGGGAAAGAGGAGGGGAAATACATATGCCGAAGCAAGAGCTGTATTTCTTCTACTTCGAGGACTGTAAGGGCAGTTGAACGAACTGTTCTAAGGTTCATGCTAATGACGCTCTCTTATTCAAGGCTGGCATAATATTAAGTAGGATATTCTCCGTTTTGGTACCTGTGTGATAACAGCCCAGAAAAACCAGTCCTGTGCCTTTGCTATGGATCAATAGCTGCGTGCTCTCGCTAGGCAGCTGTCTTTGTTATCCACAAACCAGACCGTCGCATCTTACAGGCAAGTGGGCTTGTTTTCAAACAGTAGTTTGAAATGTGAATAAAATCAGTATGTATAAAATTATTTCCCATTAACAGCTCCTGTTGATGCGATGTTCACTGGATCACTCTGCCCTTTTGTCCTAAAGGAAAATCACCGATGTGATCAGCAGCCCTCACCTGGAGGATTAAGAATTGAGACAGCTGAGCAGATGATCGAGAGGCTGTGTGCTCCGTACAGAGGCTGAGGAAGCTCCTGGTGTCCTGCACAGCCTAAGGCATGGCTGCATCCAGAAGAACCTTGGTCTGTTCTCAGGTGCATGGAAATCAGAGTACAGCCCAGAGGTGACAGGGAATTGGCCCAGCACCTCTCCAGCAGAGCAGTATGGGACACGTAAATGAGGAACAGACCACTTCACTCCTGTCAGTTTGCAGGACATGGTTCAGAGATGATCAAAACTTAAACTCTTTCCAACTGATGGGATGGAAATAATGTGGGAATAAGCCTACCTTGCTACAGTTTAGTCTCTCAAAGAAAGCTCTGCTTTATGAAATGTAAACCCAAATTACAAAAGAAATCAACATCTAACTGTTGTAAAGCTGCTTAGGTTAGAACAAAAAACCAAAACTAATTCATGCCCATTGTGTTTCAGTGCTGCTTCTTCCCTTAGTTTATATGCTTTGCAAATCCTTAAAAAGACCTTTGGATTGTTGAGGAACCAGCCAACTAACAGATAGTTTCCTTTCCAGTTTGTCAACAAAACCATGTAGTTGTCATGTGATAATTCAAAGACAGTTCCTCTGACAGGTGGAAAACGTTGACAGATAATGTTATAAGTGTCAACTATCTCAGGTTCAATCAAAAGTCAGAAAATAACAACTACTGCTAACCAAGGAAAGGAAGAGGCAGGAGGAGAGGTGATGTGTAGTGGCGGTTTGTAGGGATTTCTCCACCCGAATGCTCTCTCAAAACAGTTGTAATGGAAATAGCAAAACCTCTCCAAAACCCATCTAACTCCCAGATGTATATCCCAGCACAGTCAGCTTAGAAAATAGCAGGGAAGGACAATTGTAATAGCTTCTAAATGTAGTCTGATTCCCAACTAAGCAAAAGATGGGAACAAATAAATATTTTAGGATTTGTTTGTTTTGTGGTATTTGGAAGATTGTTCCTATCTTCTTATTGGCAGTGAATCAGAGACATCCTTGCAGAATTATTATTAATCTCTTCTTAGTACAGCTGGTACTGCTGTTATTAGGTAATTTGATTGATGCTTCCCATTCTTGTGCTGGCAGTGGTAACTGGAATCTACAGCTGCTTTATCTGTGAAGAACTGTGGAAGCGTTTGAAGTTACATGTCCTGTAAAGTCCATTTTCTTCCTCTTGTTTTTTCAGACTTTCCCTAAATCATTTTGCCCACTGATGCACAGAAGATTTCATGAAATTCTGGAACTGACTCAGTACAGCACCGAAGTTTTTCACATATAAGATAAAATAAGTGTCATACAGTTGAAGGGTCTGCCTGACATCTCCAGTCTGTTAATTATATTATGCCCTGAAGGCTCCAGACTGTTTGGCAAGAAGCTAAAAAAGTCCCATGCTGCTGCAGAAGACATTAATGAAAAAAAAAAAAATCAACTAAAAAAAAAAAAAGGCCAGGATAAGTCATGAAAGGTGGTTTTGTGTTCTTCATATGCTGTTT